TAAACATGTATTTTGTTGGTTACGTGATGTTAGTGGTTGAATTGAAGCGGGTTAGTGGTGAAAAGTTATTTGAAAGATAATAAAGTAATTCTAAAAAGTGACAACAAATTGTTTACACTAAACCACCTGCTCCCACGTTATTATTGTAGAGATATCCTTCAAATATCTCATTGACATCTTAAAGAAACCCCAAAATGTTCAAATAGGAAGAAGGCATAAAACATTAAATAAATTAAAGAAAATACAAGAAAAATGACTTGCTTAATTCCCTTCGATAACATGATCAGAACATGGATGGAAAGACCTGATAGAACAAAAAATTGTCTTGTACCGGACATTGTGTAAAACCAGCTTCCCTGAGCCGGGAGTGCTTTGCTCTACTTATATTTATAATCTTGGACAAATTTTTCTAAGCATTCTTGGACATTTTTTGATCTGGGGCTCTCCAAACTTTGCCACTGCAACGCCAACAATAGGAAAACCAGGGTTAATCGAAGTTGCTGCTTCCATTTGTTTCTCTGTCTTAATTTTGTCAAACTTGTTTTAAGAGTTCCTCTGAATATCCAAACGATTAAAGTCAAAACAAAGACATTATTCGCACTGCAAGAAATTTCATGTTTACATGCAGAAACAATTAAGTATATTTTTTAACTTAAACTAAAGAACGTATTTCTTATTCTCAAAAGAGGAGCATTCTTCTTGCCAATTCACAATTATTGGACCATTAAAAAGATGTCAAAGTGTGATTATCTATCAACCCAATTGATTCGCGATTACTGTTTAAGAGTTGCTGTTCTAATTTCGTTGACAAAAAGAAGAAGAAGAAGAAGAAGAAGAAGAAGAAAGGAACTGTTGAATGTACACCCACCAAGAAAAATGTTGAGAAGAACAAGAAGATGACCTAACTTAGAAACAAAGAATTCTGAGCAATTTCAAGCTCAACCGAGAACACGAAGAAGGACTCCAAGAACAAGAGAGATTGCATGATCATGCCCAGATCCAAGTTTCAAGAAATGCAATGTCGCCCCGTAAATTCGAGAAATTCATTCATGAAAAACCCATGGGGAAACCGCGATTATCCGGACTTGACGAATACAAAGAAGGATAATGTTCTCTAATTTTGTAATTTTCATTAAAAGGGAAAATTTGATCTAGAAGAAACGTATTATGCATGTCTTTTCTTTTCTGTCTACATTGGTCAGTGGTGACAGATGATGGAATCCTGGAAATCTATGGATATCTTAAACGCTGGAAAGTTCTAGGCTCATCAATTCTTTCAGTTACCTGGATCAAGGCCACTGTAATTGATCCAACTATATGAAATATCATCCACTGTTTTGTTCTTGTTCTTGAGAGTGATCTAGATCCTCCTCTTGTTTCATTTTCTTGGTTGCACCGGATTGAAATCCTTCATCCCTTTCTTCTTCAGATGGATAAATAAAAAATGTTTGATCCTTCTGCTTTCTCTTTGATTTTTGGTAATCAACAAAGGCTCAGTAATGTTAATTTAATGGCCAGACACACATTCCAGTCCCACCATTCTCTGTTGCAGTGCTCAAACTGTAGTGTGAGAAAATTATCAATACATCCCCAGAAGATATAAAGATTCTTCAATTTTTTCACTAATTTTGAGATTAATTTCAACAATAGTCTCCTTATCTTGTAGAGCTAGCAAAATAACACTCTCTTGAAATTGTCCTCAAATTCTTCCCATCTTTGATTGGATATGTTGTCTGATTGAATATAGCTCTTGTCCAGAATTAATCACGGACAAACTTACCTGTTCAAGAAATTAATTGGACTCGTTATGTTAAACTTAAAATGACAAGATTGATAGTTTCAAAAATGAGTTTAAGGCTTAAAAAGAGAATATCAAGACAAGATATCCCATGACATTGAGTTTACTTTATCTTGGAGAATTTCAATAAAAATGATGTGTGAACTTTTTCGAGTATATATGCTAGTGTTAGTAAAAAGAGAAACAAAAAGTGTGTTTGGATTGAAGGTTGTTTGGAAAATGTTGTTTTTGGTTTTATTTACTATAGTTTTTTATTTTTTTGATATGGTGTATGTAAAATAAAAGAAATGGTATGAACCGTATTTTGTGATTTAGTCTTATTTGATTTGCAAATTTTACGTTTTGCATGAACATTTTTTTAATTATATTTATACTTCACAGACATCAAATTGCCACGGTACTTTTTTCTTTTTTCTTTTTTATAAAAACTCAAGAAAATAACAATCTAAATGAAATGGATGTTTATTGAAAAAATAAAGGTGTCTCCTAAATTTTTATTTTAGAAGAACCTAGAAAAGTATCAAAAGATGTAATTTTTTTTCTTAGTTAATTTTGACTTTTTCTCTTGTTTGGGCAAAAAAAAAAAATTTTTTTTTTTCTTTTGCCTATACTCAATTCTGCTGCATGTTGATTGGCAGACAGGAAAGCGATTACCCAAAACAACAACTGAAATGGACGTGAATGATTATTTGTGTCTATCTCTTATGAAATATACTAATTAATACAGTAAAGTCCAAACCACTTCCATTTACTTTGAAATATTTAATACATATGAGACAGCTGAGTACAAGAAAACCACATTGTTTAAGATCTTTCGGAAACTCCAACGCTTTCCTTGGTTGACTATTAATGCGTTTTCCTATAACCAAAAGCGGATTACCATGACTTGAGGTTTCCTATTCGTGGAAGTGATTTTCACAGAACTTTTAGTATATTATCAAGAATCTGTCAAAATCATCAGCTCTGTAAACAACTCCCCCAGTAATGTAACTTTTTCTCGCAAGGGAAATTTAGTTTGATGATAACCAGCCACTATAACTAGTTAGAAAACAAAATGAGGATGAGGGATTAAAAAAGTACGAACTGTTTTGATTGAAAAAACTTGTGACAGGTATAACATGACAGCGAAGTTGATGATGATCGTTATATCAAAGTGATTAAAATCATAATTGCCCAAAACAAAATTTACAACTAGCCAACTGGAAAGTATAACATGTAGTCGTAATACACATGAACTAACATTTTATTATATGTCTGAGTAAATATAAAAGGATTCTCTATTTCCTTTGTAGCTCAGTGGAAGTCATTTGATCAATTGGCTATGAAATAGACTTTAGCTGCTTTTTTCTTTTTTGTGTTTTTTTTTAACCCTTCCTTTCCACCCCACCCGCTTGTTATCTTTAATTGCCAAATTCGAATCCTGAAACTAAAAGCAGAATTCGAACCCTGAACCTAACAGCAGAGACTACGCTAAGAGTCCTCCCCTAGTCATTGGACCAACTCCAGTTGTCAAATAGACTTTAGCAGATATTAAGACTCTTAAGTTCATTTTTGGGGATGTCATTAACTATATATATCCCTTTTATTGTCCGGATTTTTGTGAAAATTCATTTAAGAGCCTTTCTCGAATAGAAATTGGATATTTTCTTGCTCGCATTATGATCATCATGGTAAATATTAGTCAATCTTTAGATGATAAATGATTGTTTACAGATCTTAAGAATCCCGGGTGCCGAAGAGTTTTCGAGTCAGTGAAACTTCCGTCAAGTTTCAAGCATTAAAGGTCCTGCCAATCTCAGCCTAATTCCTATCGATGGCTTACAACTTAAGTCCAAATATGATCTTAACATGCAAGTTTTACTTCGTGATTATGCTTCTAAAACCCCTTCCAGTATACTAATACAAAATGCACCCAAGACTTTTTTACTTGGTCCAAAACATTCTCGCGTCTCAGATACAAAGGTTGTAAGGTTTTAGGTGACCATTTCTATCAAACCTGATGAAAAGCAGAAAATCCAGACTCTTTGGCCATATGTGGATTTGCCGACTTGGGATCTTAAATCTCAACATAGCCAAAAAGGTTAAGGACACAAATTGTATCCTTAATAAACTCTTGAATTTAGGAAAAAAAAAAAGACTAAATCAACCATCTCGCAACCAGTTGAATTTGTGGTCTAAAAAAGACACCAAATTGTTTACTGTGAGCAAATTCTAGGACTCTCCTACATACTACCTTATTAGTACGTCTGCACCGAAACCAAGTGAATTGATACAGCGTATAGTTTTGGCCTCAGATAAAATGTTTTCAAAACTTGGCTCGCTTCAGCTTTTGATAAGGTCTGCATATTTGACATGATTTAAGCCCTCAATCTTGTTAAAAGTGGTTGGCCTCAGAATCCTTGAGCGCCAAAAGCTTTTCCTTCAGAAAACATCGCTTTAAATCATATGCTCAATCAGGTTGACCTTCAAGTAGGCCTGTCAACGGATCGGGTCTAGATCCGGATCCGTGAAATTATTGCGGGTATGAGTAGGGATTTAATTCCGTTTTCCGGATCCGGATCCGTTTTGTCAAACAAAAAAACGGGTCGAATACGAAATATAGTATTCCGGCCCGTATTAGACCCGGATCCGGATATAAATGAATTAATAATTTAAAAAATATATATTTATCAATATAATTTGATTAGGGTGATGTATTTGAATAAAGTCAAATTGATTTCTTTTCTTATTTGATTTTTTCTTTGCATTAGTTAGAAATTAGTTTACAAATATTTTTTTTCTCATTTTTATTAGAAATTATAAATTTTACTAAATTTGTTCGGGTAGACCCGACCCGGATCCGGAACCCGTCGGATCCGGAACATAGAATAAAAGACCCGTCGGGTAAACGGGTCGAATCCGGGTCCGGTATAGTAATTCGGGTCCGGGTCCAGAATAATGAATTTCGGCCCGGACCCGGCCCGTTGACAGCCCTACCTTCAAGTGCGTCAGACGAGACTTGTTACTAACGCCAGGTCGCTTTTACATTCATTGTAGGTCTCGCCAAAGAGGACCAAACTCTCACTAAAATCCATCCAACACAAGCACTTCACATTGCACCACACAATCACCATTTTTGCAAACTACCCAAGTTTCAACCTTTCATGTTATATAGGCCTGAAAGAGGAAAAAAATTAAGAGAACTTTCCATTTCAGTTGTTCAATGCCGAGTCCTTCGATACCACGTTCTAAATCTGCTCCTAGAATTTCAACAACTCCTCTCTCTCCCTCTCACTCAGATGTAACTTCTCGATGGACATCAACGTCCGAAAACTCATCTAGAACATGGCCAAAGAAAGTTGGTAACTTCATTGCAAGAAAGACTGGCTCATCGTCTTCATCAAAGAAATCAATCCTAACTGAAGAGAGCCTCAAGGAATTCAACAGACTAAATGAAATTCTAGAACAGAAAAGGCACTTCAGCAGTAGTCCTTACTACAAGGGGCTGACTTACTCATCCCTTGTTATTAGTAGACAGAGACCTTCACTGCCAAGTCCTGATACAGAGAGCAATGCCGGAAGTTTTATGAGCTCAAGCTCTAAAACCAGCTTTGTATATAAAATGCAAGAATGGGGAAGTTCCTGCTTTACATCCAAGGACAAAGAAGCAAACATTTCTCAGCCCAAATCAAGTTCCTCTAATAGTAAAAACTCCAGAGACACTATCACCCCTATCCGATCTCTATCATCCTCTACATTGTCCAAACAAGGTTCAACACCCGCAACAACAAATACAAGATATAGATGTACCAAAACTGCAAAAGAGCTGGGCTCTGAAAGTGAAAAACTTGGCAGCATTAGCACAAAAATTACCAGCACCACCAGTACTGATGCTGCTATTGCTATATTGAACAAAGGGAAGCCATTGAGGGAGAGAGTATTAGTACCACCATCACCACCACCAACACCGCCTCATCCAGGACCACAAATCATACCACCAGCACCAGCACCAACACAAATTCTACAACCACAACCAACACTTCAACCACCACAGACATCATCCCGACCAACAATAACACCATCTCAAACTTCACCAACTGAAAAGATAGTCCAGGAGAAAGAGACGAACAAGCCAGAGAATGAAAGAAAATTTATGTGGGCTGACAAGTATCGACCATTTGCCCTGAAGGATTTCATATCCAATCATAGTAAAGCACTAGAGCTGCAAGCTACAGTGAGATAGCCTGACTAATTCTCCCTTTTCATTCTTCTCTGTCCATATTCTACTTTCGACAGGGTACAATGAACTGAACATTGATATCTAATTGTTAGTTTACAATCTTCTATAGGTCAAGTCAGAAAATTGTAGTCATTTCATATTTGAAGGACAGCCAGGGGTTGGAAAGAGAACGATGATTTGGGCTTTCCTCCGTGAAGCTTTTGGAGAAGATAGAGTAGAGGTAATGCTCTAATATAATATCTTTTTATATAATTTTCTTAGTGCAAACAAGAATAAGCATATCCGTTGTGGAGTATGTTGGCTAAAATCTATAGAATCAGCATACCAGATCAAAAAGTAATGACCACATGACAGAAGCTCACACACAGAGGGAATATACAAACTGTAAACTAATTCAATATGTGAAACCAGATATTAGTATCATCTCACTTGAGAAACTTTGGAGGAAACAGCAACGAAGAGTCAAACTAAAGATAAAAGTTTTTCATCTTCATTGTTAGGGCCAAGAAACTCTGCTAGTGTTTTTGTCACCATGATTAGATTAATCTCTACTGCAAAATTGAAATATATTAACATGACTGAGTGCCAAAGAAATTCAATTGCAAAGATCTAGAAGCTGTCTTATGTCATGATCAATATGTTCTACAGGCTAGAGAGGAAAGCAGGAAGTTCGTTCTGAAGGTCAGTTCTAGTTCCCATCCCTAACTCCACTTTTTCAATTTTTCATCTCCTTTCCTCATTTGCCAGAATTGGAATATTGTACTATCTCATGTGGCTTCCACATAAGCAGAGGGTAATAATAAAACAAATATCACGAAAGGAAGTTCAAATCAACCAATTGAAGTAGCATCACTTGGTCAATCAGTTGAATCAGTCAGTCTTCCTAAAAAGTTTTCACTTCTGGGTCAATGTACTTAGAACAGCAGCCATTACTAGTACTTCGGTCTAAATGTAATACTTGGAGAATATTCAGATGAATTTCACTCAAATTACCAACAATACCTATGCACTTCTTAAAAGAAAAAGAAAAGATTTAGACTTTAGATTAATTAGACCGTTGTTTTACCGGTAAAGCGACTCAAGATGACCATCAACCTAATTCTTGAGGTTGGAAGAAGATCATGTCTAAATCCAGTTCTTCCATGAAATGTAAACGTCTCACTGATGTCATTTGCTTGCTTTAATTTGCTTTCTTGATGATTTGACATAACCAACTAGTTCACGTTGAGTTAATTTACTCAAGACAAATTTCCAGATGTATCTAGTTCCCTTTGAGTTACTATTACCTACCATCAGAATCTTGACAGCATCTTAACAAGGTGTTTTGGTGTAGAATTTGTTGAATCCGATTCATGACTGCAGAATGCAGGTGTAAACAGTAAAGTGAGAAAAGAAACTGAAAGGCGCAACTTAGGGATGTTGTTAGTCCAAAATCACAATTGCTTATTTATAAGTAAAACTATCACACATTTAGAAAAGGATACTTTCAGGGAGTCTTGTGCTCGTCTCTTCAGCCAAATAAAGAAAACTCTTACAAAACATCTTGTTCCTGCCTTATCAACATCCCAATTAGAGAAACTCCTTCAAAAGAAGGGTCAACTAAAGAAAAGAAAGAAATGCAGACCTTGAACTCCGAGAAAGAAATTTATATGCTCTACTAATCTAGACTGAAGGATCTACTAATCTTTATTACAGGGAGAAGCAGTAAGTAGCATCAATGTCAATATAAAGCACTCGTCTATGCATGTTGAAATCAATCTCTCTGAACTAAGAGGGTATGAGAAACACGTTATTGTGGAACTGATCAAAGAGAAAAGTGACAAATCATCAAGTGAGGCTTTGCAGTGCAATCCTGATAATTGTAGAGGTACTGCAAGAATTCTTTTCAACGAAAGTAATTCTACAACATCAAATGCCAGACAGAATGATTTTCCTTTCTTTATTCATACTTATGCAGCCATAATTCTCTACGAGGTGGACAAACTTCCAACTGAAGCCCTACTCTATATCAAGTGGCTTTTAGAGCGGTATAAAGGGTGTAATAAGCTCTTCTTTTGCTGTAGCGATGCCTCAAAGATCCATCCATTAACTTCACTTTGCACTCTTGTTCAGCTCCTACCGCCTTCTACTGAAGAAGTAGGAAACTGAAATACCTAAAGACTGTCAAAATCATATCTCGGAGAAGTTCTGACTTTTTGCTTTCCACAGATTATTAAAGTACTGGAATTCATAGCACAACAGGAGGGAATTACGTTACCACACCAGTTGGCTGCCAAGATTGCAAAATCCTCCAAGAACAACCTAAGACAAGCCATACGCTCATTTGAAGCAACCTGGCAATTCAAGTACTCTTGCCTATGCATAGCCTTGCATGTTACATTACTATAGCAACCACAAAAAGTGCACCCATTCACACCCATTATGTGCGTGTCTTTCCAATTAGAAAGAATAATTCTCCAGGAAAGTTTTTCCTTTCTTGATTCCTTAATGCAAACATATGCAGTTCTGTTCTGAAAGAAAATCAAGAAATCATGATAGGGTGGGAAGATGACATAGCAAAAATTGCTAGAAATATAATAGACGAGCAAAGCCCAAAACAGTAAGTTTTGTCATACTGACTTGTAAGCTTTGTGATTTTGAAAGTTGTATACGACTTCCACATAATACAACCTACTAGTACAACAGGTTACCTAAAACTAGAAAACCTGACCATGAGGATCATTACATGTTCCAGGCTATACAATATCCGTGGAAAGCTCCAGAACCTTATAGAGCACAATGTATCTCCAGAGTTCATATTTGAAGTAAGAAGTTCAATGCCCTTACCTGTGCCACTCCATTACTAAAGGTGCAACTCTAACTAGTTATCTTTTTTGCAGACTCTAGTGAAAGAACTCAAAAAGAACTTGGATGAGCAATTACAGAAACAGATTGACAATCTACACGAGAAATACAATGTATAGACTCGAGGTTATCGGTTACTTTTCCTATCCTAATAGTTCCATTTGCAGTTCAAAAAAAAAAAAACAATAGCCAGGTGTGGCTTTGATATTTTTGCAGAAAAATGATGATTGCGAGAAGCATTATGCCCCTGCACCAAATCGACAGGAGGAAATGGGTAAAAGACTCAATGATCCAGTCAGAAAGACTGTGCAGCAATTTATGAGAATAGAAGGTAAGAAAATCTTGCAACAGAAACTAAGTATCCATATTATTGTAGCATAAGGCCAGTTATTTGATTGCTCACATGACGAAAGTTTATCAAGGAAATTGGTGCATAAATAAAAGTAAAAAGGTCTGATGATAATTTCTGCTATTCTTGTCCTTTAGAAGACCAACCTTGAACACTACTACTAAAAACTGCAAAAGGAAAGCTTAACTGTCCTAAAAACAGATCGTTAAGTTTCATAGTCAATGTTTGGAGCGAAATTCAACAGAACAGTGATTTTTTTCTTATGGTAAATATCAAATCACATGGTTGACTAAGGGCAAATCCCCTCAAGTTAGCAAAAGAAAGTGCTTATGCTTTCACTGGTCTTCTCCACCCCCCACTGCTTAGGGGTCAAATGTTTATCTCTCTAATGTTCATCGATCAACTGAATCTCACCACCCAAAATGTCCTTGACATTTCTTATAAATAAACTTTAGTTACTCTTCGTAAGAGAATTCAAACAAGATTGTTAGAGGGCTTCCTAACAATTTCTGGGAGATATCAAATGCTAATGTTTTAAAAGTATAAAAAGGTTTCACAAATGATCATGTAAGATTCCTCGAAAGATAAGGCAAATATTCTGTAAACATTTTTGCCATGATAAATCACATTAAGTGAATGGCCATGTGAAAAAAAAATATTCTTCAGCTCCTAATCAAGGAATAGTTTGCACCACTACTGCAACCTCTATCTAAATTGTACTTCTGCTTACCCCATTGTTCTTCACTTTGACTTTCATCAAGCACCTTTCCCAATTATGAGGTACCTTCTGCTATACTTTATCTGGCTGCATCTTTGCTTTTCCACCCTACTTTCACCATACCAATTTCATGTGATAAGACTAAATGACTTAGAAATTGTTACCATGCATCTTTTAATAACCAAGGCTTCCTCTGTGATAGATATGCATCACTTGAAGTGTTAAAGCATCTCATATAGGCAGCTTTTCACCAGGATTTCCTTTTGTCACTTGGCATGGTATTCTCCCACCAATGAAACATAATTCTCTCTTTACTGTCAAAGGAATAGAAATAGCCTCATGAACAAAGTTGCAGATGCGTCTAAAGCCGTACATACCTCAAGACATCTTCATACATTCATCTACCACCAAAAAAAAAAAAAATGAAACTGTCAACTTGGCAAAGGCCAACTAACAAATGCTAAAACGTTAATGAAATAAGTCAAAAATAGACGTTGTGATTACTGATCACTTTCTCTTTTTCTTCCAGAGTTCATAGCAAAATTCATGAGCTGGTACAAAGGCTTGGTTGTCAAGAGCAAGCAGATGCAAGCCCATGCAATTTAAAGGACTAATTAGTAACTGTGAACTCAGTTACTTCATGAAGTGGATTCGAATTGTCAATACAGTTGACAATTTTACTTTTTCTTTTTAAATAGTTTGGGGTCTTAATAAATGGCCAACAAAATTGTCCGTGAGCATTATCTAAAAGCACATTAGTATTACATAAATGCATGAATAAGATCCAGATCCAGCTGCTGCATTCTATTTCTATATTTCTCGTCCTACAGATTGGACAAGAGTACTAACTTTCAATTAACTTTTTTATATTTCAGTAATCATATAAATATAAGGTAAGATATAATGCAAAAAATTTCACCTCATTCTTTAACACACATCCAGCTCTATATGGTTACAAGCATTTATAAAATATATTCAGAAGTGCCCTAATGAATTGTCTATGTGCAAGCAACACTCAATTTTCTGGGGGCAGACCTAATATGGCAGCCAATAGCTCTGAAACATAATAAAAGTGAGTGGTCACTGGCATGTCAACAACATTACTACCTAAGAAACAGACGTGAAAATAACATTTATGATGTTAGAAGTTAAAACCCAAAGTTCAACGAGAAAGATGGACAAAAGAGAATATTGTAAACTAAAGACAAGTTCTAATTTGTAAAATACAGATTGCTCACCCCAAAATTCCAAATTGAACTCGAAAGCTCATACAACCCTTCTAGCATGATAAACTAGCTATTATAGTTAGTATTATAGTTGCAAGGATTCAGTTTAAGAATGAAAGATTACTGTAAAATATAAGTGATGGCACCTTAAAACAATCAGCCAAAATCTGGCAATCACTTCTTCAAGTACTTGATTTCAGCAAAAATGCTTGAGATTAAGATCTAATACGGACTTTGTATAGAGAACTAATTTGTCAAGTTTGGCAATATACATGGTTCCTGATGCCGCCAACACCCCCTAGCTTTCTTATGTAGACATGCCTGATGTGTAAGCACTTGCAAAATAGTGCAGTTAGTTCAAGTTAACCTATTGCACTATTCTAGTAAAGAGTTCAATGCTATCCAAATGATCAAAGTTTTGTCTTTAAGAATTAAATTCCAAGGTGTTAATGAAAAGGTATTCAGTTCCTGTAAATGCTGGCAAAGTAATGAAACTCCTGCTTAATTGAAGTTAAATTTTAACTTTACTCAACAGTTACTTTTCCAAACTCATTATACTCAGGATCATGAACAATAACATTAGAACACACTAAATTATAATGATCTCATGACTGAAAACTTGGAAACTGTTACAGTGTCTATCTGATATCTCCCCATTTTTGATGAATAGATTATTGGGATCTCAATGAAGCCTTACAAACTCTGAGAATAAGTAGTCCACAGAAAAAAATGCGTAAAACTAGCTCACTGTTACCCTAAAAATAATCCATTATGATAAATGTACAGAATCTGTGGCATTAGAACTAATCTAACCTCTGGAATAATGTAAAGAAACTCATTGCACAGCCAACCGCTGAAGATGTTCCAAGAAGACCTCAAAGCTGACATCATCAGTAAAAATAATATCTCCCCCAGGAGCAGGAGGAGCATCAGAGTTGTATGTAGCAGAAGGATTCAATTTTACCAACAGAAAACGTGCCTGCATAGAATTAGCCTCTTAAAATTTTTATAAAAAATAAAAATTAAATTCTCCTCCCTATTTGTGATTAGCCACCAGTTAATAAAAAATACTTTGATCATTCAAAAGCTGTTAATCAAGAACAGGTCAAACAGAAGTCAAGAACTATGTCAAGTAATTTCTCAGCAATATGCAAAGATTTCCACTAATGGAACGCTGACTCATGATTCCCTGCTAATTTAATTAGTTAATAGAAAAATCCAAAAAATTAAAATGGACCACCAATAACAAGCAACAAGTTTTCAGTGTGTTAGTAAAAGTCAAAAGTTGAGTTTCAGAGAGAATTTTGGGAAAGTGTTTATAAGAACCACAGGAATTGCCATTTCCAATTTAAAAGTTTTACAAAATCACCATACAGCAGTTATTAACAGCTCCCCTTCCCACCCACCCCCACTTCATTTTTTGGTCAACAAGGAATATTGCATTTTGGTTGCTCCTCACAGTAATTACATTCATAAAGTAAAATTCAGTAACCTGAGAGCCATGCTGATCACAAATGACCAAGCGGGGTACAGGAAATCTTTCTCTGATTATAGAATTAGCATCATCCCGGGGAGATTGCAACAGCTGTGCAAATGCCTGCAAGCACAGGTGTGTTTTAGATTGCAAACCATGAATGGACGGCTTATGCTTTACTGCAGCAGAAGCCATGGTCAGGAAAATAACATTTTAGAAGTCAACTCCAACAAAGCCCTAAGCAGCAGGTCCCAAACTTTCATGTACTGAACTAGAACAGCTAATCCAGACTCTGGGAATACTTACTTTATATCCATTCTAAATGCCCTCTGCCACTTAAGGCTATTATTGGCTAGGAAAGTAATTCTTAATAAGTGAGTCCTATTATTACATTGTTGCGACTGTTGTTCCCCCGCCCCCAAAACCCAACCTTTTAGAGTTCTGGGGCCCTACACATATAAATTGAAAGTGCCATTTCTTCCATCTCCAAAGACAAGAATCATGAATGACACGGTCGAGCCTAATATCATTTAGACAAGAATCATCCCAGGTTTTCTCAAGATCTGAGGAAGGGTATCTGAAAGTAACTCTTCAGACCATCTCATTAAAATCAATCATGACTATTGTGTAAGACTCGACTCCAGGCCATTACACTACCCTATCATTGTTTATATGGCTAGCCCCAAGCACACCAATCTGCTATAGAAATTTATGGCAGAAATTTGTACTTCTTGTATAGGTCTCTTACCCCAATTGTTCAGCTGTATAACGTTTTATATTTGGCTACATTAGCAATTATAACATTTTATACATTTTAATGTAAGACAGCCAAGCAACATGAAGCCCGATAACAAGAAATCAAATAAACAAGGCAACATCCTGCTTCCCAAAGTTATTAATGAATTCTGAATAGATTCAGAAATTAACAGAGCCAAATGTACAAAGATAACTTTAAACAAAGTATAAGACTGACTACTGCCATCCCTAACCCCCCAACTCTTAAAACATAACCAAAACCATAAGAGGTAGCCAAACAACACATATATAACTGACCAAGTCTTCTGGAACTGAACAAGCAATTACTTGGTTCCAACTTGACCTAGCCCCACAAAAAAGATGAGAACAAATGTGGTAACATGAATCCCCAAGCTTTTATCATTTCTTTATCCTAAGTCCAGGTTACCCAAATATGTTCCCAGCAACTAGTTTCCAGTCAACTCATAACCATCTGAAACAATAACAGTTTGTTTAAAGAGAACAAGCGACCTCATCCTATCAATCCAAGTTTCAGGGAGATTACAACTTGCAAACAATCTTACCTGATGTTCAGGCTGTTGGTGGTATCCTGCTTTTCGCCATTGAGCAATAGTTGATCCATGAAATACGACAATTGTAAAATAAGAATCCAAAAGTAGGATTCTATCAGCAGCAATGGCAGCAACATCAAGGAGAACCGGTTCTGGAGCAGAATGAAAAGAGTAAGAGATCAATGAAGGTTGGATCATCACCACTGAATTTGCCACATTTTCCCTATTGAGAATCATTCTGAAATATGCTGTCTCATCAGGGCTGTTATTAAAGACCTGAAGCAAAAAATTCAGAAAGATATTAGGACAGAAGTAACTTAAATTAGGGTGGACTTAACTCCTAAAATTGCAGAAAAGATGAACAACTAAATAAAACAAGAAAAATAAAGACATACCTGGACAAACTGAGAACGCCGTAAATGAAACACAAACTGAGGAAATATTGAAAACCTAGGAGATAAACTGAAAGAAGATGGACTGTCCTTTTGGTAGTCGCCAAATCGTGAACATATATGAATCAGGGATTTATCCAACCATCTTATAGGGTCAAATTCAGCCTGTAGAAGTGGAAACTTGCACTTTAAAAGGCATAGTGATATACAAAAGGAATAAAGCAGTAAAACTGGAAGAACATGCTATGATTTTTACCAACATAACATCATAATACAGATAAA